TGTGTGTGTGTGTGTGTGTGAGTGGGGAGTCATGCCACCCTGCAAGTAGGGCATAAGAGTGGCATCCCACCAGTGGGACAAAGGTTGGACCAATGGTTATAAATATATATGTACACTGTCTCTGGACTGGATTGCGGCTTCCACAGTGCACCAGATGAACTCTGTCGTCAAAATGATACAGATGGTTGATTTTGTTATATTCCTCCAATCAGTGAAGACAACAAAGCCACCACTATAAATCAGTGCGTACGATGCAAGGAGAACGCTAACTAGTTCAACAGGGGAACTCAGAATAAGCTAATGTGTTAGATTGACAAAGGAAACAGTTTTATGGCTTCATTGAAATGCTACCCTGATATTTTACAACAGTAGCACACCTTCACGGATAAGTACTTCCCCCAAAAGTAAAAAAAGAAAGAGAGAGAAAAAAAAGGAAAAAGAATAACAAAGACAAACAGCTGCAAGAGACTAACAAAGGCATAAAAAAGACTAAAATGCAGGAGGTTAAAAGAACTCTGCTTTAAGGGAAAGCTGGGGTTTGGGGTAGGGTGGGGTGGGAGGTGGGGGGACAAGGTCTCGGAATTTTCAATCGCCCGTTTCGGGTCCGCTTGGGCGGAGGTGGCGAGAGGGCCAGGTATGGGGAAGCGCTTGGTACACTTTCCTCGCTTTCATCTCGCTCATAAATATGTCTTTGGCTGGGTTGTCTCCCGCGCACAGGAAGAAGCGGCCAGCGGCCAATGGCTAAAGAGCAAGGTTTATCTTCCCGGAAAGTAACTTCTTATGAGGAATACTAGGGCCAGGAAAAAATACGTGGGTCTGCTGCTCTTTGAAAAGAGGGGGGATACCTGGTACATGCATGTCCGTAATGTGTATGTACTGGGGTTAGATTGTGTGTGTGTGTGGGTATGTTCTTTTGCGAACATGTTGAGATCGCGAGCGGATACGAGAGGGAAAGAAAGAGAGAAGAAAGAAGAAGAAGAAGAAGAAGAAGAAGAAGAAGAAGAAGAAGAAGAAGAAGAAGA